AATCAAGCTTATGCTTGATGGCCTTCTAAAAGGTTTTGGTGCAGCCTCAGTAGAGATTGTCACGTACCAAAGCCTGGTCAGACAAGCGTGTGTGACACGAAGCTCTATGGTTACATATGGCGGGGTAACTCCATTGAAGACGAGACTTGGCCGCCCATCTCAATATGTCCGAAGGACCCTTTTCTCTTGGTGAAAACGTTTAGTATTGGAGCTCAGACATCTCCAAAACCCAAGGGAGATTTTTCCGAACACAAACGCTCTGTAAGAAAACCGGAGGAGGGGTCAAAGGAAAGATTGTGTCAACCGGCGGTGGCCCTATGGTTGGTGTTGATCTTGGTACTCGTATCGTTAGAGTCGATGTATCCAAGATAAGACGGAGCGCAGATGTCCTTGCTGACATTGAAGTTCCTTTAGCGCCACTTGAAGCACCAGGATCTGCCGCACTAGCGGAAGGGTCACCATCCGTGCTAGCGGAAAACAAAGGGGACCATGCTTCAGCTCTCTTGACCCATGACACACAACAGTCCGTGGATGATCTGGACACAAATATGAAGAGTGCCATTCCAGTGCGGGAAAGATGAATTTCCTGGAACTCTTCGCTGGCACGGCTCGCGTGAGTCAAATGGCTGCTCAGTCTGGACTGAGAGTTGGACAGCCTATAGATTTCAGGACTGGATTCGATCTATCAAACTCATTGAGAGCAGGCGCAGAGCTTCACCTATAAACTGGGCAAACACAAACGACAAATGGGTCCGTTACTACACGCCAACAGGCGTCCGAAGTACGACAACGACTCGTGCCCGGCACAGTTTTCGGAGAATGTATCCTGTGTAGAGGAACCGTAGGTGTTACCAAACATCTACGTGAACCCCAGCAAGGCATACTGGTCTATCGGCGCAAGCGCCAGAGCAGCCCAGCGGTTTCTGTAAAACGCGTTTATGAAGTTGACTGGAAAAACATAAAGCTGTCAACCTTCTCGGGCGTGCTATACAGCCATTTCGGCGCAAGTGCCAAATACGATCGCACTAGCGATCCACATACGGTGACAATTGGCAATCCGCCAATCACCGACACTGGCTGTCCGTAGTACTGGCCTCCTGGTCAGGACATGCCACAACCGGATGAGTCCATGCCACAATATATGTGGCATCCTTCAGGACCTGAAGACGACCGATACCGGACCGCTTTCAAGCTGCTGTTGGATTTGGCTGACACTAACCATGTGCCAGTCAAGACTATCCGGTCCAGTACAGATGGACTGACACTAGTCCATGATACCGCAAGGTTCTATGAACAATGCCTACTAAGGGTCGACCAGCACTTACACGAACGTGCTGAACTTGAACAGGCTCTGCAAATATCTCTGTACAACGAAGACGAACTATCGTCCACTTTACAGAGACAAGACGAGCATGTGCAGACTCTGCGTGATCGTATTCACGAACTGGAGTCGGAAAATTGCGAACTATCGCAGCACAGAGAGCGCTCCAGGAATACCAACATGAACTGGAGACCACCCTTGAGGAGCGCGACAAGCTCATGCACACCGACATTGAGCAACTGACTCTCGATAGAGAGACGGCAAGAAGGGAGCTCATTGATGCCGTTGACATTTACAGCATAGAAGAGCGCTGATACAAACAGGAAGCTGCAGAGCTGCGAGCCCCAACTCCTGTTATCGGACCACCAACGGCAAAACCTCGAGGAGTCATATTCCGAACTATTGGAAGTGAGGTCACAGATGAACCCCATGCTTTTGGTTTTTGCCGAGAACGAGGTCCAACGACTGCGTCAAACAAATGTAGCCTTATCCATGAGTCTAGAGCGCAGCAAGACGGACCTGAGCGAGACCGCTCGCCTTCTTAACCAGAAACGCGAGGAGGTCAAACAACTTGACCGGGATTATACATTATAATACTGTTGCTCTCAAATTGGCCTAGACCGAAAGTGCGATTGAATATGCCAGCTGTAAAATTGCGGAACAAGAACAATCTGCTAGGAGCAGCAACGAGAGAAATGACCTACTAAGGTCTTCTCAGGCACGACTGGCGATCCCGTGAGGGACGTCAGGTCCTCCAGCCACGGCAGTTTCCTCTTGGTAGGAACTAACCAGGGTGCACCCTTTCAGACATATTCTACAATCAGACAAGCTCTGAACGAGGATCCGGACGAAGAGGCAATAGACGAGGTGTGAACCCTACTAAGGGCCACCCTCATACAGAGTAGATATTCGCACTAATGGAATCTTTTGTCAAGCTGACTAATCCGAACTACTGGAATACATATCAGCGCCTCACCAGTGAGCCCAAGCGCAGCACAAAGGTAAACGCGCCGTGAGAGGGAAAGCACACCAACTTATGAGACCCAGAATACATAAAAAGGTAACTAAGCACAACGTGTATAGCTAGAAACTACTTGTATAGTATTGGTTTGGGACCCTCATAGGATGGTGTGGGAAACGAAACCCCAGCATATGTACAGACTGACTTGCCATTGCGCAATTCGCGCACAAACACTAGGGTTACAGGAAAACCTAGTTGTGAGTGACCTTACAACGGGACCTCTTAGCGACCCCCGAATAAAGGACAGGACGTATGTTTACGGCTTACGAAAAAGTGTCTGTTTTGATGTAGAAGCTAAGGCACCTAAAGGGAACCCCCAAAGTCTCCAACAATACTTATACTGCTATGTCTTGTACCTGTATATATGTGTGTCACAAGCAACTATGTTATCCTGCGGCCACTATGGTTCAAGGCACAAGATACAGTGTCGTGAGCAAACAAGCAACTGTGTTAGCATAGCTACTCCTAGAGTGCATCCACTGAAATGCCCCGGGCCTTACTACGGGGGTCCACTGGGAAGGGGGGGTGGGTAATGTTGCTCCCCAAACGCCAAAGGCCAGGGGCCTCGACGGATTCGTTTTGCACACTGTCAGGGTGATGCAGACCAGATTCAGAAGCAGTGCAGCCAGAAAGAGGCCAGCCATATTGACGTTGATGCGTGGCAGCACAGATGCACGTAACATCTACAGGTTATTTCAACGCGCGATGGTGACGTCCTGCCCGGGACCTGTCGCTGCACATCTCCCGCACTCCTGGTCATATGGATGGTGCTTGGGCAAAATTGCAAGCATCACTTGACATAGTCACAAGGTCAAGAAGCCCTTGGTTCGACTAGGGTCGGCATAAATGAAGATGATTGTTTGAAGTTATGGTTGAGTTTGTTCACGGTTTCGGTACGGTTCCTAAAGGATCATTACTTAGTGGTTTGCGGCTGTCGGCGTGAGAAGTGCTGCGCTCGAAAGCTTGCCGGGACTGGAAGCAACCCAACAAAGCCGTTGTTTACGCGTCAGGGCTGCAAAACGGTCAAAAGGCGGTTGGCACCGCTATGCGGGGCGCGAGAGGTTTCCATAACTACCGTTTTTCGAAATGCTCAAATCTCTGCATTTTCTCTTCGATTTGCTGCAAAGCTTGTCTCCAAGAGTCTCGCACAACAGAACGGCTTTGCCATTTCTTCTTGCCGGTTGTATGTTTCGCCATGTCTGGCGTACGGGTCACCTTGACAACTTGGCTGCATGCTCTTGCCAGTCAGGAAGCTGGCAAAAATTATGCAAAGCTGTCACAGCCAAAAGAGTCGCGGCAAATTGACGTCTATGTCGAGTCACTCCCTCTTTCGCTGAATGACTCGGCTCCTGCCAGCACCTCCCTTGGCAAGATTGAACAGGGGCGCTACTAGCCTCACCACGCATTCAGGAGACATAGCAAGGCCGCAGAGTGACTTTCATGGTTGGTTGGACAGCATTCTCCAAGAGGGCATCGCCACTGGAGCTCAAGGCGAGCGTCGCAGTCAGCTCAGGTCTGCCCAATCAATTTGCACCATGTTGCTTCTTGCAGGCGTGGGAGACCATTCCGGCCCAGCTTCTGAAGATGCAGGCGGTACAGAAGTTTCTGTTGTGGTTTCATGCGCCTTTAGAGCATGGCTTTGGCAGTGAGTTTTGTCAGGCAATGCCGAAGGCAATGCTAGCTTAGACAAGACAGCCCAGGACCGTTGAGTTCGCCGACTACTGTTTAGAAGGTAAAAGCACTTTTCACGCACCAAGCCCGATTCAAGCACTATCGATTCGGCCACCGCCAATTCAAGCACTGTCGCTTCAGGAACTACCCGATCCACGCACCAGCCATTCATGCACGCACAAGTCCGATTCCAGCACCAAATCGAGCCGATTTCAGCACCAAAAGGCGCCGATTCAAGCACCAAGAGGGTCCGACTTTTGCACCAAGCCAAAACAATTCCACGCTGACCTAGGCGTGAGTCCTGTAGTTTTGGTGCGCTGCACGAATCGGTTCCCGTGCCAGTGCGCGAATCCTTGGTTTGCGAATCCGACGGGGCAGCGTGCGAATCCGCCGGCGGCAGTGCGCGAATCCTGGCGTTGTCCCGGTGCTCCAATCCGCCCTTTTTGTGCGCGAAACCGCGTTTTTTGGTGATGGAATCGGTTTCCAACCCTGTTTTGAAGTCATCGCAAGGCTCGTCTGTATGTAGTGGATGCAGTGCACTGGAGGACGTTAAGTCAGACGCGCCGCCAATGCTTTACGCAACTGGATTGCACCTATTTGAAAACATCAAGCTTTTTGTCACCAAATCTGGTCGCCGCGGGAGGTGGATGTGAATATCGCACATGGACAGGCGCCAGAGAGAATAGTTCTGTATCAGGCTGAATCACGGCGTGCTTGGGACTACAAATCCTCGTTGGTGGCACATACAAAATTGCTGATAGCCCGGGCTGCGTGATATCACTTGTTAGCGTCGCATCTTCTTGTTTCAGGGCCAGTATGTCAGTGAAGTGGCCGCGGAATTTGTTGAAAAGATGGGATCTGGCATTGCCAACAGCAATCGCGCATTGTTACTAAATCCGACTGCCGCCCATCCTTCAAGTCAATAGCAGTTTGATGCGTCTGCTGTCCACGAGTTATGCGCTTCTATCCAGGGCTACGTGCCTGCGCTTCTCACGCGTGGAATGGGCGGCTGCAACAGATGCCGCACCGTAGCTTTGAAGTATGTGGCGGTGTAGATGCAATGCCAGCTGAGATGAGGCCGGCTATGCGTTGCGCTCCGTTGCCAATGCATCTTGTGTCAGTGTTTAAACACTGATGTTCGATGATCAGATTTTTCTGGATCCATCGCACCTGCTTGCCATGAAGAAGCTACTTAGACACTCCTGCAGAGAGTCCTGCTGCGGCGTACTTTCTGATCATTTGCGGAGCTGTAGATATTCTCCAGCAGCAATGACGTTGGCGCTTGTTGTCAAAGTTTGTGGGACATTCTGAGACGCGGAGTATTTGTACTGAACACTGAATCACTGAATAGACCAGCTGGTACAACATGCGACAACTGTGCGCTTGATTGTTGGAACGTCCACAGCCCCAGCGAAAGACGAAAAACAAATAGATTGCCAAAGGATGATCTGCAGTTGCTGGCGGATTTACACCAATTCTAGTATGCCAGGGAACAGTGTAACAGAGCTGCAACATAGTCAGATTTCTGTATCCGAATGTCTATTGCAGTCCCAAGCAGATTTCGTGATCCGTCCCGCAGATAGTAGTAACACTCCTCTGCCGATGGCTGTGTGAATCTCAGTGAGAAATCTTGCATGCTGCTGTCCACAGACAGCTTTGCCGCTCATCGCCTCAGGTTGTGAGCAAGATGGCGCGAGGCAGACGTGCCCCAGTGGCGATGGCAGGCCATTCGGGACCAGAGTTGGACGTTGAATAGTCTTGCCTAGGGCGTGGGTGTGCATTTGGATATTTGAATTTGAGCTCTGTATCGCGCTATCAACCAACACGAAGATAATTAACGCTGGATTTCTGTGAGTCAAGTTTACAAGGTGCAGCTGCCGCACTTCTCGCGGCGCCCAGCTTTGTTGCTCCTGGACACGGGGCTCCCCGACAGTTGGAGGTGCTTTTCTTTGTTTTCTCCGTCGCTGCCATTGCTGCGCGACGCAGCGCGTGTCTTCTGTTTCTGTAGGTCGAGGCCTCCAGCCGTGCTGTCGCCGAGAACACCGGAGGTTCACGAGCCTCAGCAGCCTCAGGGGCTGGAGCCGTTGCGGGAACTGCTGCCGCGGCTGCCGGTGCAATGGCTGCCTCGGGCTCTCGCCTTTTGGTTGCAGAAGCGAGAAGGTGTGTCAGCTTTAGTTTGGTGTGCTCTGCACAGAGGTCGCAAGCCGTTGTCCAGAAACAAGACCGGCAAAGCTGCCCTTCCTGGCAAGAACATGGAGCACCAGCAGCAGGACCGGGCACAGCTGTCAAAGGTTTGGCCAAGCCTTTTCTGACTGTTGCCAGGTTGTAGGCTTTGCCAGGCTTTCCTGGGGAAGGAATTCCTTCATGGTTTGCAACTCCGAGGGTGTCCCTGGGAGAGCCCGTCACTCCTAAGATCTGTCCTTTCATGGGCTTCGGGGATGTCCCAAGTTGCGATGTATCAAGAGCGAAGCCTGTGTTCGCTGAATTTCAAGGAATGCTGCGAGTGCAAGGAGGGAAAAAATGGCTTCGCCACATTGGCCTCGCTTGCACAGGCATTGCTTGAGCGACCAAACTCAGGCGAGGCAATCAGACTAGCAGCAGCTCACTTGATGTCAGCCATTGCTTGG